TTGTCCATATAAGCCTGGTTTTATTTAGATATGAGGAAACTCGCACACGGATTGGCCGTGAAGAAAGAGATTTTTTTTGTGAGCGCGTGAGTGAATTAGAGCGAGATATAGAGAGAGACAGAGAGATAGAGAGATATATATAGATATATACGCAGGTATTTATAGAGAAATACACTGATGTATGTAGATATACATATATATATATATATGTATATGTATTTACATATATATACACATATACATATATACAGATATACATATATCGATAGCGATATATATTTCGATAGAGATATATTTAGAGAGATATGTATATATATATATATATATATATATATATATATATATATATATATATATATATATATGTCTATATATATATATATATATATATATATATATATATATGATATATATATATATATATATATATATATATATATATATATATATATATATATATATATATATATATATATATATATATATATATATATATATATATATATATATATATATATATATATATATATATATATATATATATATATATATAAAATTGGGCGGGAAAATGATATTTTGTGAAATATAGGAAAATTTACATGATAAAATGAACATAAATGGATTTGGTGCACATTTCCTTTAACATGTGGGATTTTTTTTTGTATTTTATCCTTTGATTAAAGTAACTCCAACTTTTTTATTTTTCATGTTCAAAAAAAAAATTATGTTATCAGATTGCTACGTCGCTTCCTGCTCTGTGTATCGAATTACTATTATATGTAGCACATAATTCTGAATTTTTTTTCGTTTTTCTTGTGCAGCCTCTTGAACTTACTGAACCATCGACCGCTTCGGTGCACACACCTACGCAAAAGCCACTTATCAGGTATCTGGGTTTACTAATTCATTTTTTTTATAACTTTATTTGCAACACAAAGTTAGGCAAAAAAGAATTTTAATTTTTTTTTAGTAGGGTTAATGAATTAGATCATAACATTGTTCATTTAATTCGTATGGATCGGTATATGCTTGTATAACTATCGTAGGTATTTTTCTTTTTTTGTAAACAATTAGCAGTACTCTTTCCTTGTTCAAACAAGGTTTGAACGAATGCCTCTCCATTAACAATTTTCTTTTTGGCAAAAAAAAAAAAAGAATATTTATCCATGTTTACTCTTTTTGAGAAAAAAATATTAATCGCATTCGCTAAAAATTTTGATTTTCTTGCTCCATCTTTGTTCAATAGGTTCAACTTCACAGAAAGAACAAGGACGACAACGAACATCGCATCATGCAAGGGATATCCGTTACTCACCACAAACGGATCGGAGATGCGCACGATACCGACGGAGTAGATTAGCATTGAAGGCCCAATCTTTGTTTCATGATTGGTGTAGTTATTGAAGACCCACAAAAGCTTCTTATGGGTGAATTGAAGGCCCAAACTTCCTTAGTTGGGTAGGATCGAAGGCCCGAACCGCTTATCGAAGGGTTTGGGTAGTTAGTCATTCTTAGTTTACGACACGCCTTCTTTTCAATTAGGTGTATGTATTTGAAGACCTAACATTTTGTATATAATTGTTAGGTAATAATAAGCCTCTTTTGTGAGTTATTCTATCTGCATTAGCACATGTGCAATGTAAAAATGTTAGGTTACTACCTTCTAGTTCCGTAGAAGGATGAACTTGCTCGGGTATGCTCGTAGTACTTGTATATATTTTGAGATGTGCTATTTTCACCCTCAAAATATCTTACTTCACCATCAAATTAAATAGATTACCATTTTAATTTACTCATTTCTTCTTCTTTCACCTATATCTTTTACAAATTTATAAATCGTCCACCACTAAACTAATTGATAAAAAAGATTCCGCGTTAAAGGCTTTATCGGGAAATCTCACCCTCTCCACCTTAAGTGAATAATACTTTCGACAGAGAAAAAACTTTCCGAAGGTAAAAAAGAACAGGAATTCGCGTTCTTTGAGAAATGAATTAAGAGTGTTTTGTATGGAAGGTCCTGAACTTTCTCTAGAATTAGCTAGTTTAACTTAATATAATTTTGTTTCCTAAAAACATTACTTAATCCGTAGGTCATTTGATATGGAAGTTTCAATATCTTGTAATAAATATTTTATTGCAAAAAAAAAAATTATAGAAAAAATGGAAAAATAAAATAAAATAGAAATAACTTAGAATATATGATGATTAAACGAATATAAGGAAATGCGGTGGATTATAAATTTTAGGGGTATTTATGACATTTTATTTTTCTTTTGTGGTGAATGAGATACTTTGGAGGTGGAAATAGCAGCGCTCTATATTTTTTGTCTATATATTTACATTTTCATTTATCAAGAATGGAAATATGAATGGGTTATTATTTTGTTATATATATATATATATATATATATATATATATATATATATAATCATCACAAAAAATTCTAAATTAATTAAAATATTCTAATAATATACTGCACTTAATATTTCGGAGATTCATGGCACGATCTTATCTTTTTTTTAAGGCGTTAAATAAAAAAAATAAAAAATAGGTAATATTCATAAATTTTATTTAAAATAATACAAGTTTAATTTTAACCATCTTATTTTATATTTTATAGAGTAAAAAGCAGTTTGCCCCATAAACTATAGCCCGTTTTGCACTTTGCCCCCCAAACAATTTTTTTTAGCATATTTTTACCTGAACTACGTTTTTTTTTTACACGGTGCCTCAAAAATGGGATTTTCAGGGCATTTTGACCGGAATCTCATACATGTGACTTTCACGTGAGTTTTACAGGGGCAAAAATGTCTTTTCACAAAGAAATTAACCTCCTGGGTTTGATTTCCCCCTTTTCTCTTCTCTTTTTTTTTTTCCAATTTCCTCACATCTCCTCTTCCTTTCTTCAATCTCTTACCATAATTTTCTTTCCCATTTTTTTTTCATTTTTTTTGTTGTGCTGGTCTTTTACTGGTATATGAGAAGACAAGAAAAAAAGGAAAAAGAATCCATAGATTTTTACCTAATTATTCTTCAAAATCAGATTACTGGTAATTATGCATTAAATTGATTGATTTATTTATTTTTTCTTCCAGTGGATTTTGGTAACTGAGTTTAGATTTTTCTGGGATGTTATGTTTTGAATTTTCTCCATTATAATATGTTCGGATCTGGCTTTTTCTCTCCGTGGTTAGCAGCTTTAATTTATCAGTACTGTTTCATCTCTGCAGGTGATGGTGGTGAAGAAAATGGCAATTAAGTAAATTTCAACACTTTCGAAGTGTATATATATAGTCTGCCGGTGATCGATATAATCATATAATTTAATTATAGGATCTTGATAAGATGATGATGTTTGATGACTTGGGTTTTTGTGGCGATTTCGATTTCGATTTCTTCTCGTCTGCGGCGCCCATCGTCAAAGAGCCGGACACGTGTCCTCTCCAATCTTCGGAGCCGCCAGGTCAGCAGCAAGACCTCGCCGGCGACGAAGACTACACCGACGATGACATCGACATGGACGAGCTTGAGAGAAGAATGTGGCGGGACAAGATGCGGCTGAAAAGGCTTAAGGAATCGAACAGGGGCAAAGACAGCGGCGGCGGCGGTGGCGGTGGCGGCTCGGCCCTGGATTTAGCAAAACAGAGGCAGTCCCAAGAGCAGGCCCGCCGGAAAAAAATGTCCCGGGCCCAAGACGGGATCCTGAAGTACATGCTTAAAATGAAGGCGCAAGGGTTCGTGTACGGCATCATACCGGAGAAGGGCAAGCCGGTCAGCGGCTCCTCCGACAACCTCCGCGAGTGGTGGAAGGAGAAGGTCCGCTTCGACCGGAACAGCCCCGCCGCCATTTCGAAGTACCAGTCGGAGAAATTCGTCGCCGGCAAAAACGAGACCAACAAAAAAAAAAAAAACAGGGAAAAGAAAGGTATTGTAAGTTGTAACGGAGAAGAAGAGAAGAGAAGAGGGAAGGGAAGAGGAGATGTGAGGCAATTGCATGGGAAAAAAAAAACGAGAGAAAAGGGGAAATCAAACCCAGGTTAATTTCTTTATGAAAAGACATTTTTGCCCTTGGAAAAATCACGTGAAAGTCACGTGTGTGGGGTTCCGGCAAAAATGCCCTGAATATTCCCTTTTTAAGGCACCGTGCAATGAAAACCGTAGTTTAGGTAAAAAAGTGCAAAATTTTTTTGTTTGGGGGGTAAAGTGCAAAACGGGCTATAGTTTAGGGGGTAAACTGCTTTTTACTCTATTTTATATTAAATATGATATATTTAGAGTAAAAAGCAGTTTGCCCCCTAAACTAAGGGTCGATTTGCACTTTACCCCCAAACAAAAAAAATTTGCACGTTTTTACCTAAACTCTGTAATCCTTAAAATGATATATAACAGTGACAACTCGTCAGTCTATCTGAGGGATACGAAAACCCTTCCCCTATTTTTTTTCGATTTTTATTTTCGTAATTGTGATATGATATCAGATCCATCCTATCCAACTTTCATGCATTAAGATACGTTCCAAGCGCGGATGATTATCATAAGAAATTCCCAACATATCATAAGATTCTCGTTCTTGAAAATCGTTGCACGGTGCCCCCTAAACTCAATTTTCCGGCAATTTTAATCGGAATATTAAAACATGTGCTTTGCACGTGAGATTTTGAGGGGTAAATTTGTCCCTTCACTTGCATCTTCAATATTAAATACGAATAAATATTAAAAAAAAAAGAAAAAAAGAAAAGAAAAAAGAAAATAAATAAATAAAGGAAAAAGAAGCTGTCATCCACACCCACCTTCCCCGAAAAAAAAAAAATCCAATCCAATGGAAGAATTCCTTACATCCAGTCCTTAATTTATTTCCTCTTAATCCAATAATTTTTATTTTACTGTCTCCAAAAACACATGGGTGGTAGTGATTAATCTGTGACGATATCAATTTAACAGAAAATCTACCAAAATTCCGTCAAGAGATAACCAAGCTTTAATTCGTGCAATCAACTATTTCAATAACAACGAATCAGTAGAAAATATCCCCAAAAAAATTTGGATTAAATAAACAGAGAGTATGAAAATTGAGTGCTAGAAGAGTAAACATTGCGGCCGGAGGAATTGTTGAGCGAATGAGGAGGGGATTTGACGGGATCTACGACGTCGTTGTTTTGACGAGGGGAATTCGGTAATGCTGCGACCGCCTCTTTTTTCCCCCGACTACTACTGCTCTCCGCCGCCATTAATTCCACTCTCATCTGCCGAAAAATGTTCTGGGTTGAAGGAATTCGAATCGGCGAGACCGATTTTGGGGAGAATTATTGGGGCAGAGTGATTTTCGTAAATTTTGTCAAATCTTCGTCGCAGTGAACAAACTTTGTGCCGGGAAGTTGGATGTGGATGACAGCTTCTTTTTCCTTTAATTTTTTTTTTAATATTTATTCGTATTTAATATTAAATATGCAAGTGAACAGACGGATTTACCCTCAAAATCTCACGTGCAAAGTATTGTTAGAAACACAACAAAAAGTTAACAGAAAAAAAAAAAAACAAAATCCACTATTCCCGAACCCTAAATCGTCATCCATCTCCCATGACCACCGACACCTCCCAAAATTCCAGAAAACAAAAGCTCACACATATAATAATAAAAAATAAATATTTGGTTTGACATTTATCTCCAATAATTGCGATGTTTTTCTCCAAAGATCCAATCGAAATTCGTACGAACTTTCAACCACTCAAGAAGGTAAAGACTCGTCTGCCCCTTTTTCATCTGTTTTAGTTAAAGTTTAAAGATTAAAGCTTTTTATGATGTTTTTTGTTGTTCATCATGCGGCAAAAGATTTTTTGTTTTTGTTAGTAAACTTATTCCTTAATTTAATTAATTTACTGGTATGGTTATTCATTATTATCTGTTCTTCTTCGATTTGGGATGTGTTGTTACGATATAATATGAAAAGATATTACAAACTTTTTGTAATTTTTTTTTTATTTCCAATCATAAAATATACGTTACTTTTAAGTTAGGGGTATAATAGTTATTTTTTAGGGGCTATATGCCAAACACCCTTCATGAAGATTTTAATTCAAGATAAATCCTTTATTTATAAATGATATTTGACATAAATCCAATGGGCCTAAAAAACCATATATGCCCCCACTAATTATTAATTAGTATAATTATTTAATTTTAAAAACAATTATACCCATAATCTACACACAAATCTTCTCCAAAAATTATTCCTCTAATCACGCTAATTTAGTTTTTTTTTCCTTTTCTTTTTTATTTTGTTTAATGATTTTCTTTATTTCTATTTAAAAAAAATTGTAATTATTTTATTTTATTTTTATTTTTTTTAGTTTCGGTTTTTTATTTTAAATTATTTTTTTCTTATTTATATTTTTCATGTTTTTTATTTTAATTTTAAAAAAATGGTTTTATTTTTATTTTCGTTTTTTTTTCATTGTTTTTCTTTTTTCTTAATTTCGATTTTTTTTTTTAAAATGGTTTTGTTTTTTTTCTTTTCTTTCCAGTTTTTTTAAATAAAAACCACTCTATATAAACATGAAAACCACTGTGTATAAACAGCTATATAAATATGAAAACCACTCTGTATAAAAATAGCTATATAAACATGAAAACCACTATATATACCAAAAAATATAAATATAAAATCAATTTGTATAAACAACTATATAAACATGAAACTCTGTATAAAAACAACTATATAAACATGAAAACCACTATGTATACACAACTATAAAACCACTATGTACAAACAACTATATAAACATGAAAACTACTCTGTATAAACAACTATATAAACATGAAAACCACTCTGTATAAACAACTATATAAATATAAAAACCACTCTCTACAAACAACTGTATAAACATGAAAACCACTCTTTATAGTTTCGAAAATCGCTATGAAATTATCGAAAACCACTATGACATTACCGTAAAATTCACTATCACATTAAAGTAATGCACATTAATATTGATGTAATTCACTACAAACTTATCGTAATCTACGTAATTCACAACGAATTAAAGCAATCGACTAAAAACACAACAAAAAGTTAACAGAAAAATTCGGAGAATATAGCAATAAATGGATTAGCCGGACAACACCAGCAGCCGACCCGGCAGCATTGGCACAAGAAGCAGTAGCCAGTTTGTCTCTGTAACTTAAATTAACTCCATTCAAAGTAATTCCACTGCACGAGTTCTTTTTACTGCAGTCAAATTTCACTGCAACTTATGCAGCTGATGTTCCATGTATATCTTCATATGCCACGTCACTTATCTTCACCCCCAACCCCTGTAATAACAAAAACAATAATCCAACAACAACTACTGTTAATTAATATTAATACTCAAAAAAATTTAGTTGCTTTTAACTTTTTTATATACCTTTTTTTTAGTATATTAATTTTTTTCTTTTTTTTCTTTATATACCTGAGTAGGACAATTTTGGTGGTCGGGCCCCACGGAGATGGAGTCGTCTCCGGTGCCGATGTGCGTGTTCATCACGGTAACTTCTGACGACTGCTGTATGTGGATGCCGTCGGTGTTAGGGCTGTTCGCCGGAGCTGAGATTTTCATATTAACCATCTTCACTTTCTTGCATCCGTCGACAAGAATATGAAACTTCTGGCTGTTCAACGAGGCTAATCCATTTATCGCTATATTCTCAAATTGTAGAACGCCAACGACTACAGTAAAACAAGGCATAAGAGGGGCTGTGATGACCCTGATGAGGAATTGAATCTACGTTGCGGGGCTGTGATGACCTAGATTTCGTTGAATCTGTAATTACGGGGCTCAATTGTGGAATTATGTGAGGATGTGTTGTTACGATATAATACGAAAAGATATTACAAATCTTTTTTAATTTTTTTTTTTATCTCCAATCATAAAACATACGTTACTTTTAAGTTTTAAGTTAGGGGTATAATAGTGATAATTTATTATTTTTTATTATTTAATGCTGAAATGGATTTATCTAAAAAATTTCAAAAAAAATTGGATCTATTGTAATTAGACTTGTGTAATAGAGGGCTTTTGACAAATAATCCCTATTTTTTATTATTTAATGCTGAAATGGATTATCTCAAAAAATTCTAAAAAAATTGGACCTATTGTAATTAGACTTGTGTAATGGGGGGCTTTTGACAAATAATCCATATATATATATATATATATATATATATATATATATATATATACATATATATATTTTTTTTAAGAATATTATTTAAAAATTAACATTTATTATAATATTTTTATGACAAAATGCACTTCGCCCCCTAGAAATTTCTAGTTTTCGCACTTTGCCCCCTACAAATTCAAAAAATGAGACTCTCCCCTTTGAAATTTCATTATAGTTGCACTTTGCCCCAATTATGATTTTCCGGCGGATTTTTCACCGGTTTTCTCACGTGTCCGTCAATTTAAAGGGCATTTTCGTATTTTCAAGGTTTCCACCCAAATATTATTTATCCCTGAAAAAAACTCAACCCATTAGACAACTTATTACTTTATCTCATAAGAAAGAAAAAAAAAGGGTATTTTCTCTCAAACACATTGCTCGATAATGGTCACCAAGTCGTAAGAATCTTCAATTTTTTCTTCAATTACCAGCTATTACGGTGATTCGTCCCATAGATTTAAAAAGTATGAGTTGGAAACGGATAGAAGGAACGCACAAAGAAAACAGAGGTAATGTATAAAACACTCAAAACCAATATGCGATTTTTGTAAAATCAACGGTCCATGTGTGCAAGCATTCAATTTGTCATACTTCTTGAAATAGCGTGGTGTATTATTTATTGCATGGTGTATTATTTATTGCAGGTGAGGCAGATGACTTTACTATTCAAATGCACCATGGTGGCAAGTTTGTAGAGCTTGGCAGTCGTGTTTATGTTGGTGGGCAAATTGACTTTCTCGTCTAACAAAATGAAAAGAAGGTCGAAATTCAAACACCCATAAATCATAGCTCCAAGAGCTGAATATTACACACAAAGAATGAAACCCACAAAAAATCT